CAAGAAAATTCTAATGGCCAAACAGATGCTGATGCTTAAGATAAATAAAAAAAATAATAATAATAATAATAAATATTAATAACAATAATATTTCTACTGCGGATTTGACATACAGACTTACTTATTGAACATAATATTAATATATACATATATATATTATTATACATATATTATAACGATTAAAGCTAATTATATATTTTTAGTATACTACCGAAATCATGACCGTTTTCTCATGTTTTTTCGCTTTAATATTTTAGTGTTATGTATTATATACAGGTTAAATTATATAATTATTTTATTGTCATATCACTTATTGTATTATAATAGTAAACAATGATTAACAAAAAAAAAATTCATTTTCGTTTTTTTCGCTGTGTAAAATACGTTTAAAGTAACTATACTCTACATTTACTTCTTATAGGTTCTTTAACATGTTATCTTCATTTAAAACTTTGATCATTTMCGCGCATGCATACCATCCGGAGTTTCAAGTTTTAAGCTTTTTACAAAAAGAATATAATGCTTTTATAATTTATTTTTAATAATTTTMCGTGGAATTTGTTTATTCTGGTTTATTATTAGATGCCCTTTTATCATCATATAATAATTATGCTGTAAACTTCTTAAAATATTCAAAAAYGAATGATAGGTTAAACAAGGCAGTCGGAAGAAATAATTATTTATTTGTTCGTAGTATTGATTAAATAATAAATATTATAAAAATAAAATATGTTCATATCTTTATTAACTTAACTGTTTTGTTATGGTCATAGGCCTTATACTCAATAAGGTTTATGGTTATGATGGACTAATRTTTCTAGATAATATGTTTATATTTATTTTGAAACACTTATAATTTATAATTATTACCKTGGTAATTTAATTTGAGTCAAAGAATAAATTTTTGTTTACAAATAAACAGTCGTTACTTTTATGAAATTAAATAGGTTCTTAGTATATCATTAAAGGAGTATATGAAATATTTATTATTATAATCATTTTAATTTTGGTTATTATTATTATTATAATTATAAATACAAATTTAAACAGAAATGATAAGTGGAAAGAATAAGTTGATGAAAATAGGGACAATTTTATCCACATACCATTGCAAGAGATGGGTTAGCTACTTAAATTGGTTTGTCATCATGTTTAACTTAAAAGCGGAGTATAGAATAATACAAATTTCGAAGTTAATTTTTGTTCAGCTATTTTTTTTCAGTTTTAACTTTAGACATATTAACTTAAGGTTTATTTATATCAAACTTCTTACCCTATCAAAATCATACCATAAAGGTACATAACGTAATTAAAGAACTTTTTTAACCGTAAAAAGTTGTTTTCAAAACATTCCAAAACCAGTACAAAAAATAAAAATAAAAATATTTTAAATTTGTATGCTTATAGGTAGTTAACTTACAAAGTTAAAATTTCAAGATGTACTGCAATATATAATTTATGTATTTATCAATTTATCATTTAACTTTAAATAATAATTGTATTGTTTAAAGAACCAATTTATTGCAAACAACTATAACATAATATTAAAYATGATTATAAAATTAAATACTAATCACATAAATCTGAAAAATTCAAAAATATACAATTTAGGTACTTACTCAACATAATTAGTACAAATAAATTGTTAATGTTATATGTTGTGTCGTACCTATAGCCTTGTATTGCGCAAGCAGCGTATAGTTATAGGGTTGCCAACCGTCTGGTTTTCACTTCCAGATTTAGAAAGCCGGTATTTTCATCTGATCAGATAGTTTCGGCAACAGATCGATATAAATTATAAATATATTTTATATTATCATTTTTGTGAAATTGTATAATCTAAATGACTTCTGATAAATATATATTATATTACACTATTATAGTAACAGAGTAATGACGTACCTACTTTATAGGTATATTTGTGTACGTTGACCATAAATTAATATTAAATATACATTTCATGGAAAATTTAAAATGATCACTGATCACCTTTCTATTTTTGGTACCCTTGACTCTTGAGTCAGGATTTTTCAAATTAAAAGTTGGCAACTCTTGAATGTTCTTTGTAAGTACATGATTTCTATACATAATTTTAAATGATTTAACAATAAGACATAATATTTTAAATGTTTTGATAATCATAAAATTGGCTGAAAAATGTGTAACGGTTTTAGTGTTAATTCGCGTTTATCATTACAAATAAATGAACAGATAGGTTTTAGCGCTCTACTCCTAACCATTGCTTTACTAATTATCACTAGAACAAGTAGAACATGAATCTTCTCCGAATCGAAATAGAACCATAAATACATTCATATAGGTAAGTACCRTAATTATTAAAATATTATGCTCGAACGGTRAAAAGGATAGGCTGTTTTAAATTCTATTTTTGAATATTTTTTTAGTTTGAAAATTACTCATATATATCTATTATAAATGTTTAGAAGATACTAATTAAGGATTTAAGGTATTCTTGTAAACTAGAAACTAAGTATTTTTGTTTCACTAGTATGATCAAAAGTAAAATAATCATTTGTATTTATTTTAACTTTGTATCAATACAATTGACAAAAATATTATCAGATTATGTTATTGATTAATCAAACATAAAAAAATTTTTATTTCCACCAATATAATTGAGATTGTTTTTCTGCATACCTTAAAAATTCAAAGTATCATTTTCTCAACAAAATAACAATATTGCGTAGATTTGTACGTACCTATTTAAAAGTAATTACCAAATACATACTAGTAATTATCAGTTATCACTTTAATTAAYAGTCTATAATATACTATTTTAAACTTGCRATCCTCATATTGTATGTAAAATATCGGTGTACCTACGACAAGACGACAATATATTCTCGACGTTTGAATTCGGATTTCGAGTTATATTAATGGTGATTTAAAGCAATTAGAAATTATAAAAATTGAATCAATTTATATTTATTATTTATTTTAAAATAAGTAATAACACGATAGGTATTATAGTCTATATTTATTTTTTTTGGATTAATATAAATCGTGTGCACTCGTGCATGATAGTGTAGTCGATATTTCCATAAGTAAATTGCTACTTTTAAATTATTTTGTTCCATTGAACTACACATTCTATTATACATAGGTGATAGGTATATACTAATATAGTCTGAAATGAGAACATATAAAACATATGCACGTGCAGCRGGGTGCAAAACTGCAGACCACGTATTTGTTCGGATAATAATAATACAGAATAACAGTTTATCCCGAAAGTTTAAACATAACAAGTTTGTTTAAATGCACTCAGTTTTTCATTTTTATAATTTGTGATAGACTATCCAGAATTCCAGTATCCTACTTTGTGTAGTAGTGAGTCAACATTTATTTCAGTGACTCGTCTATAGTTTTGTTTTAGATTAAATAAAGTAAAATTAATAATGTGTCTTAAGTTATGGTTGAACCTTGCGATAATTTTCCGATTACATTACAGTCATAAATATACGTATAATGATATATAGCTATAAAATAATAAATAATTATAATGATATCATTGTTTTTTTTTTTTCAAGCTTTAGTTATAAATGTTATGAATTATAAATAGACTTAATAGAATATAAGCAATCATAATTTATTTGAATAATCAATAATACTAGAATTTAGATATACCTACATAAATATAATTATTCATTAATATATATATATTTTTAATTATAAAACAAATTAGATTTTTCATATTTTTTTAAAGATTATATTTTAGAAAATAAAGTATTAAATRAGTGTACTTAATAGAATTTCTTAATAACATTATGTAACATTATGTGTAAGAACGAAAAAAAATGYTTTAATTAAAATCATTTAAAATCATGAATACTTTTTTATTAACATTTTTTATCAATAAATTGTATTTATAAACAATATATTATGGTACACACATAATAATTTTTTTTGTTTTCAAGTTAAGGCCTCGACATCTGATGTCATTAGCCTGTTTTTCTATTGTAAGGTTACGATTGGTATTGCTGGTACAGTTGGTACGGTTGGTTAGGAACACGTGGATGGATGGCAAAGATTTTTCATTAAGAACCCGGATGGTCACCCATCCTGGGACTAGTGGCACCGGCCAGTGCTGGCACTTACACCTCATTAGTTACTGAAGCTAGATAGTAGATACCACGCCACACCAAGCCTGTACATAAATAATTATCATAATGTTAAAGTTATAAATAAATTGCATAATGATAACATTAAATTCCTGATATTTTAGTGCATAATATTATGGTAGACGGTGGTGTATTATTTAATTTTAATTATTTAAATTATTAGAAATCTATTTGTACATTTTTTTTATTGTTGAACTATTGGTGTCTGCCGGTATACTATATGATTCAATTACATAAAGGTAGGTATCCATTTTTAACTCAAAAACGAATGGTCAATATTAAATGCTGGTTCTGAGGAGAGCATTTTATCTGAAAATTGTCATGATTATTTTTTAAATGAGTGTATAATCATTCATCATACATTCATTGTAGTTCATACCCAATTTAAATATTATATTTTCATAATTTACCCGACAAAAAACAAAAAATAATAATGTATACTAACATCTTAAGCGCGACAAATCTAGTTTTTTTTCTCCAGGCTTCAGGCTTGTAACAATGATTTATAACTTATGAGAAAGTCACATTAACCCTACAGAAATACATACAACATGGCACTATTATATTTCAAGAAGATCCTCCTCTTTTGGGACTTTTATTATAACTCCTTGGGTTTGTTCATATTATATACWCTTTTTCTCTCAATGTAACCCGGTTATATTCACCGAATCGTATTTACGACGGTTGGCGCTCAATAAAAATGTCATCGCGCTAGTAGAACACGCGTTACTTCAATGTGARAGGTAGTCTTAGAAAATGGAAAAAAAGAGGAAACTAGAAAAAAAATTATTGTTTTACGAGTGGATGATGGGTTTATTATGTGTAYAATGCAATAATATGATGATGTTATTTTTTTTAACCGATAATATGGATAATTTTCAAAAAGGTTACGTTAAATGTTATAAACTACCTCATACATTTTATTTAATGCGTCTATAAAATGAACATGAATGCATAATTATCATGATATGAATCATTAGCGACTTTCATTGTAGGTTTATACATTTAATTAAATAACCAACCAATTTACCGTTGGTAAAAAATAATATTCCAAAGCAAGGTAATAGTGGCTTATCAGTTATTAGTTTATTACAATATTAATACAATGAAACAAATAATTAAAACCTTGTGTACGTTAAATTAATATTCATCGTATTAAGTAATAAACCATTTCTTAATAAAAAGTTTGTGTGATTYTTATCGTGTTAAAATTAAAATTTTTGGAATACTCTGTAAAGATGTTGTACATAAAAAAAATTATTTTTAATCTTTTTATTTAATACGTTTTAAAACTTGTACACAGATATAATGTAAAATTGTAAAAGTGAACATAATACTTATTAGCAGTGGCGTGATGAAGGACTATATTTGAGGCACGTGCCTCAGTTTGAGGGGTGGTGGGTGTCCTCAAAGATCATCTAATGTGTTAAAAAAAGCATTATTATTTAAATGAATAAATATATTTTATCTTAAAAAAATGTTTTAATGTTTTTTGTGATGGGCGGAGTGGGTGGTTGGTCTGACAATATAACTGTGCCTCATAACTTAATGAAGTTCGCCACGCCATTGCTTATTAGGAATCAATACCTAATATTTAATAATTAGAACTCATACAAAAAATGTAGGTATATTTTCAACCTAACCTCGCTATTTATTTTATACCAGTTTATACTAATTGAGACTATTGAGAGTCCTCACACCTCACGGATAAAAATGATATACTAGGTGATTGAGTTCCGAGTATAAGATTATAGTCATTGGCGCAATTTCAATAAAAAAAACTCCGGGTGTTTTAGCTATACATTTTCTCATTTTAGTTTTTTTTTTTTTTGTATGAAGAAGTTTATGATACATAAACATGAATATTATTTGAGGGTGCTGATTTTTAAATTGGTGAGTGCTAATACCTCTTGAGCCCTCTATTTTTTTATTTTTTTTTTTTTGAGTGCCTTTGAATATGGGTACCAATTGAATTCGCGATTGATGAACGAAAAATATACTAATTTAGTCTTTGGATTATTTTGTGTAAAATATAAAATCAACTGTACAATATT